CTACATACAAGAGATGCTCATATGTACAACATCGTGTAGAGGATAGAACAGACACCATTTATCTTAAAATGGCCTAAATTTGGCCCTCTTGTGCATCCTTTACTCAAAATCGGAAGAATCTATATATGGGAGCTATATCCAAATCTGAATCGATTTCAACAAAACTTGGCACACATTAGGCTATCCTAACTTCACTGCGTTGTGCAAATTGTTTTGCGAATTGGCTTAATTTGACCCTCTGGTGGGCCATTTACTAAAAATCGGATGAAATAGCTATATCGAAATCGGAATCGATTTCAACAAAACTTGACAACTTCAGTGCTTGGCATACGTATATATGCTATATATATATATATATATATATATAAAATCTGAACCGATTTAAAAGAAACTTGTCATACGTTAGGTTAATAAGTTGCGCAAAATTTTGTTTCAATGGACCTAAATTTGACTCCATGGTGTGCCATTTACTAAAAATCAGAAGAAAATATATATGACAGCTATATTGAATTTTGAAACAATTTTCACGAAACTGAATATACATCATTCTAGATTTAATTCAGTACGCTTTGACAAATTTCGCACAAATCGAATGAGATTTTTCCGCCATTTACTAAAAATCGAACGAAAATATATATGGCAGCTATATCGAAATCTGTATCGATTTTCACGAAACTGAACACACATCATTCTAAACTCAATTCAGTACGCAGTGCCAAATTTCGTGCAAATCGAAAGATATATAGGGACCATTTCCATAAAATAGGACGGAACTTCATATGATAGCTATATCTAAATTTGAACCGACTTTCTTCAATTTCAATTGGGGCAGTTCTTGGGCCAAATAAATGATCTGTGCCAAATTTCGTCCAAATCGGATAATAAATGTGATCAGTAATTTGCTCTCAAGAATACATGGCCGTACGGACGGACGAACGGACATGCATAAATCGCCTCAGAAAGTGATTCTATGCATAGCATATTCACCCAAAGAAACCATGGGTCTATGTGATTCTATGCATATTCTCCCAAAGGAACCATGGGTGTATGTCGATTCCTTTTGCCTGTTACAAACATATGCACAAAGCCATAATAGTCAGCACACTGTGTGGTGAAGGGTATAAAAACACATTTCATTCGCCTTACACACGTGGAGGCGAATGAAATGTGTACACGTGGAGTATTCTATTACGAAGGCAGTTCTGAAAGTTCTTAGCCTAGCACAAAAAGTGCGGTATAAACAGCAAACATGTTAAGTGTTGCTCGGAATGGCATCATATGAGGGCTGTTCGGAAAGTTCTTAGCCTAGCAACTCCTTCATATAGAAACAGGTGTTCACAATAGAGGCATCCCGTAATTTTTTTACAATGAAAGCACGCATTTCTAATTTTTCCATTGAAAAAAATTGCGGATGCGTCTTTTTTGATCACCTGTATCAATATGAAGAAGTTTCCAGATCGAAACAAGATTTAACTTGAGCTTATAACAGAGATGGGAGTTTGCAAAACACTTAACTATTTTCTGTTTATATCGTGCTTTTGATGCTAGGCTAAGAATTTTCCGAACCGGCCTCGTATGAAGTCATTATGAGGACCCTCTCCACACCATCTGTAAAATAGTATGCCAAATGCCCCATATAAACTAAAACAACAACAATAACCAAAGGAATCAGTTTTAGCCTTTTTGGAAAGTCAACTCACGTACACACACACACAAACAATAGTCGGTCGAAATGATAAAGAGAAGTAGCAGTAAAAAGGAAAGGACCTTAGCTTCTTTTTGGCATAAACGTGGTGGGGCGAATGGGGTGTTTTTTGTTATAATTATAAATTCAACATATTTCAAATGGATTTGTCCCCGTTATTCACAAATCCATTTGGATTGGATGGATGGAAGGTGAATCGAACGAAATGAGAAGTAGATGGAAGAAAGCAATTGTACATCACCGTCATAATATCCTCCGAGTTTTGGAAATGACACAGTCTACACAACATGAAAAGACAGACAACGTCGCTGGAAAAAGGGAAATGAGAAAATTCTAGAAACAACAATAACAATAACTATTGCAATTGCCACATAGAGTGAGTGTGCGTTTTGGAATCCTTATTTTATGAATTTTTAATACCCAACACATTCGTGTGGCTGTGCCATACTCGTCGTCGTCGGCAGCAATGTGAATTGTTTTTTTTTTTTTTGGTAAATGTTTTATATCCTTCATCTCATTTAGAGGAGCACATCAATCTGCGGCTTTGTAAGATATGGAAATTGTTTCATATACTAAGAATAACCTAACCTATTATAGCAAGAAAAGGAAAAATAAAATACCCAAAAAAAAAACATTGCCTCCAAATGAGCAGGCGTTTTACAAAACCTCGTCTAAATGAGAGAGAGCAAGTGACAAGTAGAATCATAGTAGTTGGAGAGTATAAAATCGAAAACACAAATTTAAGAGGGCATCCGCCTTGGTCGTATTTTGTTTTAAGGCATAAATAGATTTCGTTTCTTTTTTTGGTTTTGTATTTGATATTAATAGACGACGCGAAATCAATTGATTTTGCTTTGCTCATGCTCATGAGTATGAAAGGAGGACAATGTATCGTCCTGTATACATCATGAACAAAAAGGGGTTAATCCCTGGTTACATTTAGATTCGATTCGATAAAAAAAATGTTTAGGTCTTTTTGTCATATTAATAGGAGGGTCATACATAATAAGCCTATTTTATATACAAAGATTGTCCTACTAAGGAGTCACATTTCAAGGTTCTAATTACACTTTACATATCACAAAAATTCAATTTTTTTCCAATATTACATCTCGAGAAAATTGTTGAAATATTTCTTAATTTAAATTTGAATATAATTCGTATACATAATAATTAAATATAATAATATATAATTTAATATAAGAAATATATCAAATGTAGATAAAGCAAAAAAAAAGAGGATGATTAAAAAAATTTCAAATTTTAGAAGTTAAAAAAAAATAGATTAATTTATGGCATAGTATATGAAGCAATGATGGCGAAATGCATACGAATAACATGGTCGGCAGCAATGAAGAAAAATTATTTAATTAAAAAAAATAAAATAAAAAAGGGGTTATGTTCGCAGCGCATTTTTGAAATTGGACGAATATTGAAAATTTTTATTACGTAGATTTTCTATTCAATCAGAAAATAAAAATATCAAGTTGCAACCACCAATTCGATGGGAAAAGTTGCCAAAAATAATAAAAAAAATTGAAAATCGGTAGAAAATTTATATGGGAGGCTACACATACCAAGATGTATGCTCCGATATGCATAATTTTTGGTAAGTATAATTGCTACACAAGCGGATCCCAAAATAGTAAATTACAGCTAATTCGATGCAAAAACTTGTTCTCAAATGATCGAAAATCGGAAGATAGCGTTATATGGGGGCTTTATCCAATAATGGACCAATACTCAAAATTTGTGTTACAGAGATTTGCTACTCAATCAGAAATCAAAATATCAAATTACACCTAATTCGATTGTAATCAGCAGCAAAAACTATCATAATATCGAAAATCGGAAGGTAACGTTATATGAGAGCTACATCTAAAGGTATGCCGATTGGTATACTTTTTGGTGGGTATAATTGCTACACAAGCGCGGTTCCCAACATATTAAATTACAGCAAATTCATAAATGGGAAAACTAGCACAAAATCCTAAAATATCGAAAATCGGAAGGATAGTTTTATATGAGGGCTATGCCTAATGGTGAACCAATATTGACAATTTTTGGTACGGAGATTTACTACACAATCAGAAATCAAAATATCAAATCACAGCCAAATCGGTTGAAAGCTGTCCAAAATGATTAAAATATCGAAAATCGGAAGGTAATGTTAAATGGGAGCTATACCAAAAGGTGGGCAAATTACATGCCCAATGAGAACTCATCATATCAAATTATAGTCAATTTGGTTTTAAAAACGCGACCAAAATCGTAAAATATCGAAAATCGAAAGATAGTGTTATATGGGAGCTATACCTCAAGGTGGACCAATATTGAACATTTTTGTCAGGAAGATTTTCTACCCAATCAGAAATCAAAATATCAAATTAGGGACAAATCGGTTAAAAAAGGCAACCATAATCCTAGAAATATCGAAAATCGGGAAGTACCCTCATAAGGGGAGATATTCCCAAAGGTTGAACAACATTGACGATTTTTGGTACGGAGATTTACTACTCTTTGAGAACTCAAAATATCAAATTACAGTGAAATCGATTGAAAAATGCAACCATAATCATAAAATATCGAAGATCGGAAGGTGGCGTTATATGGGAACTACATTAAAGGGTATACCGATATGCATAGTTTTTGGTAGCGGAACGAAAAATATTATATTACAGCCAATTCTCGATGGAAAACTTTCACAAAATCGTAAAATATCGGAAATCGGAAGATGGCTTTATATAGGGGTTATGCCCAAATATTGAAATTCGGAAAGTGTCGTTATATGGGAGCTACCTAATTTTTGGTATGCATATGCACAATTTTTGGTAGCGGAACGAAAAATATTATATTACAGCCAATTCTCGATGGAAAAACTTGTCCAAAATCCTAAAATATCGAAAATCGGATGGTAACGTTATATGGGAGCTATACCTATAGGTCGAATAATGTTGCCAAATTTTTGATATGAGATTTTACGACCACGAAAAATATCAAGTTCCAGTAAATTGGGTCGGAGAAAATTTGACCAAAATGTTCAAAATAACAAAAAAACATAAAGAGAGGGCCTAATGGGGTTCAGTGGGAATTGTTAATTATGTTATTCATTGCATTCCGTATTTGATCTTCAAATCGATAGAAAAATAATTATGATGATGAATTTATATGAAAAGCAACAGATGATGATGATGATGAAAATAGCGATAAACGAAAATGAATCAAAAAAATAAATTCAAAACTTAAAAAGTAGAAGAAGAATTCGGAATTCAAGAAATTTGGAACGAAAATTTACATTATTCATACTAACCAAGTACATGGCCAGTTTATTGATATCCAAGTTGGCCAATTGACTAACATCGGTTGTGTTCAGTATGGACAGCATTAGGCTGATATCGGCGGCCGTTGGCATTGGGGTTGAGGTTAGGGCGGCTATGGCGGCCGAGGCAACACTATTACCCTGTTGTTGCTGCTGTTGTTGCAGAGACTGTTGTTGTTGCTGGTGCTGATGTTGTTGTTGCAGCGACTGCTGCAATGATTGTTGTTGATGCTGCTGCTGTTGTTGCTGCTGCAGAGACTGATGCTGCTGCTGTTGTTGCAAAGATTGTTGCATGACAGATTGCTGTTGCAATTGTTGTTGCAGTGTCACATTTTGAGCAGCGGCGGCGGCATTTTGTGCAGCTGCTGCCGCCGAAGTGCTTGGTCCCGTCGACAATGTATTGTTATTTGCCTGTATTAATGATTGCAGACTACGACTACCGGGATCTTGTGACGGTGTCGTTGTTGCTTGTCCACCACCTCCAATAGTATTAACACCTCCTGCACCTGGTGGTCCACCAATTGGTCCGGTAACCGATCCAACACCACCAGCAGCAGCAGCGTTTTGCATTTGTAATTGTATTGATTGTAGGGTGGGTGTTGTCGGTACGGATAAGGGTGGCGTTGATGATACCAATGCCTGTAGCTGTAGGGATGGATGGATCGAATTTTTTTCGGGAAGAGGGGGTAATTTACAAAATGGAAAAAAGTTGTAAAAAATTGTAATTCCATATTGAATTATTGAGCCATTATAACAATGTTTGAAGAGGATGATGATGATGTTGAGATTTTTGGTTTGTGTGTGTGTAGGTGGATGGGTGGTTATGTGTGTGCGATTGATGAGAGGAAGAGGGGGGACATTTGATAAATTTGGGTTTTTCATTTTCCATATGTCATTCTATGACAAAATGCATTTTGTTATATTTTTGTTGTAAAGGTAGTAAAGAGTAGCAGGGCCGTGACATTCTTAATATAAGAATTTGACACAATTTTGTTGGTTAAAAAAAAAAAAAAAATTCGAAAAAAATTTTAAAAATTTGTTGCTCATCTGTAGATAAACTACTTTAGAATAATCGCTTATATTTAAAGCAGCTGCCCACAACAGTGTACCTTGAGATTCCTCCCGATAATTTAATATTTTGATTTCTGCTGATTTCCAAAAATTATCAATTTTGATCTAAGTTTCGAGGTTGCCCTCATATAACGCAACGTTCCGATTTTTGATATTATGAGGATTTTGGGCTCGTTTTTCAATCGAATTGGTTGTAATTTGGTATTTTGGATTCTTATTGGGTAGTAAATCTCTGTACCAAAAAAATACCATATAAAGCTACCTTCGGTTTTCGATATTTCGAAAAAAATTTTTTTTTTAAATGTTTGCTTATCTGTGGATAATCGCTTATATTTTAAGCAGCTGTCCACACAACAGTGTATCTTGAGATTTAGCTCCCATATAACTTTTCCCTCCCGATTTTCGATATTTCGAGGATTTTGAACAAATTTTTGATTTCTGATTGGGTAGTAAATCTCCGCACCAAAAATTGCCAATATTGCCCCACCTTTCGGTATAGCCCTATTCGGTGTTGAGAAGTAGGACCCATTTATGCAAGTGGTTTTGTTAGGGTGCACTCACGTACACGAAAAGTACTAAATGGTACTAAATTACGTACAATTTGAATTTGGGGCAACGGATGGAGTTGGAGTCTAGAAATTTGAACATTACAGTCAGAGTATAGAACTGGGATATTGGTAGTTAGTTTTGGCAAATTTCTACTTATATGTACGAAAAGTACTAAATGGTACTAAATAAAGTACAATTTCAAGAAGGAGTGGACCAATCGGTGTCATCTTTGGACTTGATCTAGGCGAAGTAAAAAAAGAGGTTGTACAAATTTTGGTTCCAATCGGAAAGCGGACAATTGTAAATCGACTCCAAATTTTCTGAAACAGATTTGGTCCAAAGAAACACCAATATTTTGATGAAGCACATTTTTGCCATAGTGAAGTGTATATATCCTCCTCATTAGCCATAATGCTGAGGGTGGGTAAAAGAACAACATGATAAAAATCCTCATTAGTGATGACATATTTCCAAATTTTAGTTTCGGTGGATTTCATTCTATAGAACATTCCATTACCTAGAGGAGGAATACTATGCCTTATGGATTGAGAGATGCATAGAATGCATAGAATCACATTATGAGTCGATTTATGATGTCCGTCCGCGGTCCGTCTGCTGATATTAAATTGTAAACAATCTACAGGTCGCATTTATAATCCAATTTGGATGAAATTTGGTATATCTGATTTATTTGGCCCAAGGACGAACCCTATTGAATTTGGAGAAAATCGGTCAAGATTTAGATATAGCTCTCATATAAAGCCTCTATATTTCGCTTGATTTACAGGAAATTGTGCATGGCGTATTGAATTGAGTCTAGAATGATGTCTGCTAACTTTCGTTGAAATCGGTTCAGGGTTAGATGTAGTATTTTCTTCCGATTTTATGTAAATGGCACACCAAAGTCTCTATTTTTCTTTCGATTTGCACAAAATTTGGCATAGCGTACGGAATTGGGTCTAGAATGATGTGTGCTAAGTTTCATGAAAATCGGTTCAGATGTAGATATAGCTGCCGTAAAATCCGTAAATTTTGCACTAAGTACCCAAAGTTTGGACAATAGGCACATAATTTTGTAAAATATACTGAAGTTACTAGAACATAAGATGTGTCAGGAGGTGTTTCTAATTTAGAAGAAGAAAAAAACGTTAAAAAATCCTGAGTCCATGAATGACCTTACACATATATAAATCCCATCCTAATTTGAGGAGAAAATACAAAGACACGAAATTGAAATTTGACATTGATTATAAATTAGATGACCCTCCTACATCAAATTCTTAAATATACATTTTTATAAAATTTTATAGGATAATAAGGAATAACATATTTTTATTAAATTGTTATATTTTTTTATCTTATCGTAAAACTATCATCTAGTTTCGTTTTTGAATTGCATTACATTACACATTACACTTCAGCAACTATGTATATATCGAAATCGATATACGTTTTTACTACTTTACTACTCCAAAAAATATAACAAAATTGTTGGTTCTTTGGTTACTTTCACAAAAATATGATATATTTTGTTTGAGGTTATGTATGGACTACAAGATGAATATATAGTGGGGAATATAGAAATCGTTTTGAATTGAATTCATAAAATGTCTATTCATCATGTGTCCATCATTTGGGTTATTGGAAGAAAGTTACGGGTTAAGATGTAATTAGTTGGGGTATGGTAGTGTACAAAGGTGTTTGTGTGGGGTTTGAAAGCGAGTGTGTGAGGAAATCGATGAATAAATGATATTGCACATTTTATGTTTGAAAGAAAAAAACTAAGGAGAAGTATAAAAAATTAAAAACTAAAAAACTAAAAAAAAAAACAGCAAGACAAAATCCAAAATAAAAAAAAAAATTTTTATTGCCAAACTATAAGAACTAAATTAAAAAAAAAAATACTTAATAAAATTTAAAACCAAAAAATACAATTTAATTTCAATAAAATATATATTTTTTATAAACGAAACAAAAAATGTGCAAATATGAAATATTTTTTTTTATTTAATGGAAATGATTCATTCTTTAAAAATTGCATTTTCACACTTACCTTGGCTTTTTGTTGTTGTTTCAATTCTTCCTTCTTGTAGTTGCGTTGATAGGCGGTTATGACACGTCTCAAACGTGTATTTAGATCCTGCATTGAGGGCCACAACGTGGCCGAGTTATCATCGACCGGCGCTTGTGTGGGTGGATATGAACCGGCCACACTCTCCTCCTCATCTAGGCCTAAACATGGGGGGTTTGTTGTAGGAGGGGGGTTTGTTGTAGTAGTTGTATTAACAGTATCATTTTGCGTTTGTTGCTCAGTTGGAGTTGAGCTTGATGATGAGGTGGTGGTGGTGGTAGTGGATGATGTAGATGTGGTAGTAGATATATTGGTAGTAGTGGTGGTGGTGGTAGTTGAGGTGATGGTGGATGTATTTTTGGCCTCTTTGTTGGCCGAATTTGGAGCAGCATCCTCGCCGACATCAACAGTTTCAGTAGTTGTCTGTGGTGTGGTATCACCCGGTGTTGTGTTTGTGGTACTACTGGCCGCAGCAGCCGTCGAGGTCGTGCTGGCGTCAGGAGAGTTAACATTGTCGCCTGTTGCAGCAGCACCAGATTCTGAAACACTTACATCCATAGAATTGGAATCATTAGCAGCCGCAGGCGGTGCATCACTGCTATCTGCAGCAGCACCACAAGCCTCGGATGATTTCTCATTCTCACTTGTACTGCTACTGCATGCTGCCTCAGCTGTTTCTGTTTCCATTTCTTCAACATCAGCCGTTGCTTCTTTATCTGATTTGTTTGTATCGGCTTCATTTTTATCCGCAGATGACGTCGTCTTTTCAACATCATCTTTTTCCGTGGCCATCTCTTCTTCGGCTAATTTGGAGCGTTTACGTTTTTTACCAACAACTGTTGTGGTTGTTGTTGTTTCGGCATTTGTTTTATTCTCCTCCTCTGCGTCTGCCGCCGCCTCTTCGACAGCAGCAGTACCATCACTTGCATCGGTTTTACCACTCTTTTCATTGTCGTCAGCCACTGTAACTGTTGCATCGGCGGTTGCTTTTTTGGCCAATTTTTTATTCTTACCCGAAGAGCTGGGACGTTCGGGTGGATCTAAAGAATCTTTGTCTTTATCGCCCGTTGTCAACTTGGTGGAATCGGAGTCTTTGGTGGCAGTTCCATCATCATCGACTTCTTCATTGTCGGCATCTTGTTTGGAATTGGCATCTTCTTCGGCGCTGTAAAGAGGTTGAGAGAAGAAAAAGAATGTGAGAAAGGGAGTGAAATGTGGAATATTGATTTTAGAATAGGTGTGTTTGTGTGGAACCTCCTGCATCAGTTTATGTTGGGGAAATATAGAACAATTTTTTTGGACAACATTTTTTTACGAAATTTTTTTGACGAACATTTTTTTAGACGAAAAATTTTCTATACGAACAGTTTTTTTAGACAAAATATTTTTTATATGAACAATTTTTTTAAACGAAAAACATTTCTATTTGAAAATTTTTTCTAGACGAAAAATTTTCTATACCAACATTTTTTTAGACGAAAAATTTTCATTACGAAAATGTTTTTATACTTTTTCTATATGAAAATGTTTTAGACGAAAAAAATTTCATTTGAAATTTTTCCTAGACGACAATTTTTTTATTTGAAAAATTTTCAGACGAAAAATTTTATATTCGAAAATTTTTTTAGACGAAACATTTTTTATTTGAATTTTTTTTTAGAAGAAATTTAAAAATAAATTTCAAAAATGTTTAGACGAAAAATGTGAATTTAAAAAATTTTATATTCGAAAATTTTTTATTTGAAAAAAATTTTTATATTCAAAAATATTTTATTTAAAGGAAAAAAAAATTATATTTGAAACATTTTAAGACTATTTTTTTTTTTGTATACCAATATTTTTTATTCCGAATTATTTTCTCTTAATATTTTATATTCAACCTAACCTAACTTTTTTCCTAACAGCCCCAGGAAGTTGCAGGAAGTATTACAAATTCATATTCGAAAAATCCAATACAAAACCATAAATCATCATGCCAAATACAAAAATTACACAAATGAAAAAACCATCATAAAAAAACCATCTATAAAAAAATAGTCCAATAAAGCAATAAATATATAATTGAGGTTATGTTGCTGATTTATGATTTTATGGAATGCTGTATTGAATCAATTTCAAATAAATTTAAAAAAATATATATTTATATTCAATACTTACACAGGCAAATTGGCAACGGTTGTCTCCTCCGTTGCGGCTGTGGCACCAACATGTCCAGCAAAACATAGGGCCGGATCGCTACGCATTATACGATACATTTCACAGCCGTGTTTGAAAGTGCCCACCAAAAGACTCTTGTCGCAGCAGGGAGGATTCCACCAAGAGGCGGGTACAGCTTCGGCCATTGTCGGAGGGCGTATTGGCAATTCGCTAAAGAATGGTAATAGAGGTAAGAGATGTTGTTGATAGAATGAATAGAATAATGTTGTGATAGAAAAGAAAAAAATAAAAATTAAAAATTAAATTTATTTTTGTATATAAAAAATATTAATAAAAATTAAATTAATACAAACTACAGCCAATTATTTTTTAAAGAATAAATATACAATTGAAATTTGTTTTGAATTTCGTATTGCAGAAAATTTATGGAAAATAGAAAAATATGCATTTCGAAACAGAGACTGCTGAGAGTGTTGATGGTACTTACTAACGATTTTTGTTATGAATCTGAAAATTGTTTTCATTTCTTTCTCTTTTTTTGAATTATTTTTTTTTTTTAATAAAATTTGTTTCTTAATGAAATTCAATGAGTATTGAAAATGTTATTATGTAATAACGAGCAGGGAGGGGAATTGGAAAGCGAACATTTTTTAATAACAAATAAATTTAAATATTTTATAGAGCACATGTAGAGACGAAGAGAGAGATAAAGCGAGAGCATGAACCACTTTTTTTAAATGCAACAACAAAATGAACAACAAAATCATATTTGTTTGATTACTAGGGTATAGCTTCAATATTTTTTTTAGCTTCAATATTTTTTTAACGCAATATAATATGTATAGGAATAGCTAAGGAGTGGATTTTTTAAAAATATTTTTTCTAGCTCTCCACAAGGCCAGGAGTTTTTTAAACTCCACAAGGCGTGGATTTTTTAAAAATATTTAAGGCTCCATAAGGCGTGGATTTAAAAAAAATTTCTAATTCTCCACAAGGCGTGGATTTTTTAAAAAATAACTTTTTATAACTCTCCAAGGCTTGGATTTAAAAAAAAAATAACTTTTTTTAACTCTCCAAGGCTTGGATTTTTTAAAAAATAACTTTTTCTAACTCTCCAAGGCTTGGATTAAAAAAAAAAACAAGATTTTTTCTAAAGTGATGACGTAACCTCTTGATATAAAATCGGACGAAATTAAGTTTAAGATCTATATTTATATAGGAACCGACAACATATTACACCCTGTACAATATATCGTGGAAATAAAAAGAGATATATAGGCTTTGGGGTACTATTTCCAAAAATCGGACGAACATATATGTGGGAGCTATATCTAAATCTGAAGGGATTTCAAGGAAACTTAGCACACATCATTCTAGACACAATACTGTATGATATTCCAAATTTCGAATTAATCGGACAAACAATGGGAGGTTAATGCATAATTCACATAGAATCGGAAGAAAATATATATGGGAGCTATATCTAAATCTGAACCGATTTCAACGAAACTTAGCAGACATCATTCTTGACTCAATTCAATACCCTATGAAAATTTCGCCTCAATCGGACAAATAATGAGAGTTTGGTACAGCATTTACATAAAATCGGAAGCACACATAGATGAGAGCTATATCTAAATCTGAACGGATTTCAACTAAACTTAACACACTTCAATCTAGGCTCATTTCGGTCCGCTATGTAAAATTTCGTGTAAATCTAATGCCAGATCTAACCTCAAACACCACTCTTCTTTACAATCTAATATCTGCTCTTCCTTGTCTTTTCACGCTATATCTTCTTTTTCTCTCAATTATACTTGTCTCTCTTGTGGTTATTTTGAAATAAAAATAAAAAAGCTATTTAGTTCGACATTTTTCGTTTGATTTAGATTGGTTAGAAAATATTGAAGCTATTAAATGTCGGTCAAAATAGAGCTTGGTTGCCAATTTTTTTTTAATGAATTCAATTTTTTTAAATAAATTATTAACCTTGCTATTTTATTTAAACATTAAAAAATAGAGTCATAAGGATGCAAATCCATAGAAAATACAAATATAATTTCAGATATATACAAATTATTGAAACACTGATAGCAGAGACTAGTAAAGTTAGGAAACGTAGTATTTCAAACATAGACATTTTGAGAAGGTGGAATTGGGTTTTTTTTCTCAGTAAGCAAGCCGATTTAGAATATGTGTAAAAAACAATTAGTAGGTAAGGTAAAATTCTAAAAACCATGTGGCAAAAAAGTAAGGGTCACACCCTTCCCCTTATTTCCCTTTAAAGCAAACAAAATAGAAAACACACATCATTGGCTCAACATTTAATAGGAATGTAATAGGAAAGAAAAAAATAAAATTTAAAGAACACAACAACATTGATCACTACCATAGTACTAGACGACGACAACAACAATGAAAAGAAAAAACAAATTGATTCCAGACTCAAAATGTCCTTTTTCAAACTTACCTGACAGGTGTGTTATCCTTAATCTGTTGCACCAAATCTCCAATCACCTCGTGTTGTATGTAATACAGCATGCGGACACGCAATAATACCCTGTGTATCAAAATAAAAAATATAATTAAAAAATCAAAACAAAAAACAAAAAAAGAAATAGGGAAATAAAATCCAAACAATAACAGAAAAGCACAGAGAGAGTGAGGTAGAGAGAATAAAAAGAGAGTAAAAAGAAAGAGAAAAAAGTGTGTTAGTTCGAAACTAAATTCCTTGCAATTTGGTTAATCAAATAAATTCGATTCCACACGACTCACTTATTCGCGTGACGGCTTAAATGTTTTTTATATGCCCCCTCTAGATATGCATCAGCATCATATTTTTCCTGTTTACTCCAGTGGCTCGGGTCCTGAATATTTTGCAGACCATGTGTACCAAGTTCTTTCTTGGGGGGTTTAACGGCGACAGGAGCGGCGGCCGAAGAATCACCACCACCAGTACTTTCCGGCGTTGGTGGTGCTGTAGCTGAAGAATCTGTGGGTGTTGGTGTGGTACCACCACTCGTAGTAGTTGCTTCACCTTCTTTTTGAGTTTTACCACCATTTCGACCTGTAAGAAATTTTTTAGGATTTGTATTATTATTATTATTTTGATATAAAATGCGATATTTATTGCCATAAATCATCAAATTGTTGAAATTTTGAGTGTAAAAAAAAAAACAATGTAACTTAGAAACCACTAAGGACAGTAGTAAAGTCGGACGGGGCCGACTATATAATACCCTTCACCACTTTGGATATATTCAAGAGATGCATCCAACCTACAGACGTCGCATTTTTGAAGGATGAACTAAAATATCGGCCAAACTTTAGGTCTTTGGTGCACCATTTACTTAAAATCGAACGAAAATATATATGACAGCTATATCGAAATCTGAATCGATTTTTACGAAACTTAGCACACATCATCTTAGACTCAATTCATTGCGCTATACCAAATTTCGTGCAAATCGAAAGATATATAGGGAGTTTGGTGCACCATTTACCTTAAATCGATCGAAAAAATAAATGGCAGCTATATTGAAATCTGAACCGATTTTCACGAAACTTAACTCTAGACTCAATTCAGTACAAAATTTCAAGCAAATCGAAAGATATATATGGACTTGGGCACACCATTTACCTTAAATAGGACGAATATATATATATGGCACCTTTATCGAAATATGAATCGATTTTTCCCAATTTCAATAGGTTTCGTCCTTGGGCCAAAACATATGAGCTGTTCCAAATTTTATCCAATTCGGATCATAAATGCAAGTACAGGTCGCATTTATGATCCGAATTTGCCTCGTCTTCATTTGCCTGTTACACAGATATGCACAAAGACATAATACCCTGTACCACACAGTGTGGTGAAGGCCTCTATAGAAGGCTGAAAGCTCGTCCCTAAAAAGGCTGGACTTCAAAGAATGCTGAGCCTCTATAAAAGACTGGGCTCCATTACAAGGCGGCCCTTATAAAGCTAGAAGGCTGGTCTCCAGAGAAAGCTGGTCCGCAAAAACACTGGTCTCTAAAGAATGCTGAGCCTTGTGAAAGGGTAGAAATAATAGAAGGGTGGAAGACTGAATTTAAAACTCTAATCTTTTATCGCTAGAATGCTATTATTTTGGTTCAGAAGCATGACCTTTTCTAGGTGGAATGCCGACCTCCATTCCACCTAGAAAAGGTCATGCTCCTCTATAGCTGGAAGAGTCAAATCTATTATCGCCTGACTTCTACAGAAAGCTGACCTCTTAAGAAGAGTGCCCCCTAATGACGATGGCTCCATAGAAGCCTGAGCATTGTTAAATGTTGGAATCTATAAAAATGCTGAGGTTCATAGAAGACTGATCTCCCCTTAAAAAAGGCTGGTCTCTGAAATTTTTAAAGGGGTAGAGCCTATAGAAGGCTGGCCTCTATAAAATACTGAGCTCCTTGGAAACTTGGTCCCTAAAAAAGGCTAATCGTCTCTGAATAAGACTTAGCTTTGTGAAAGCGGGGCAGAATTTGTTAAAGGCTGACATCTATAGCCGGAAGGTTTACCTTTACAAAAATGGTGTTCTTCTAAATTTAAAACTCTAATTTTCTAAAATTTACCCAAATGACTATAACTATTTTCTTCAAAGTTACATTGTATTTGTAAAAAAAAATAAATAACATTAAAAAAAAAATAAACATTTTGAAAGTCGAAAAAATAATCAAACAAAAAAAATTATAATAATAATAAATAAAACAAATAACTACTCACAAAATGGTACATGGTTACTAGATTTTTTTTTGTTAAATATAATAGAATAATATATATGTATGTATAAAAAGGATATATGGTACAGTAAGACAGAGCATATTACAAACACATTTTTGGCTACACACATTTCGGTTAAACAAAATTTTACAGCTATACTGACTGAATGACAATAAAATAATTGTCATTATTTTTTTTTTCGTTTTTGAAAACCACATATACACACACGACATAAACACACACTTTTAATATACAATTTTTTAAAATTTATTTTTTTTAATACAATCGAATACGGTTATAATAAATATTTGGAGGACATTTTTTTATAAAGAAAATATTACATGGAATAGATTGTTTTAGTAAGAAACCAGTAAGGAAAGTAGTAAAGTCGGGGACGTGACCGACCCTTCACCACTTTAGGTATATTCAACAGATGTTTCCTAACAAATGTCGCATTTTTCAAATCAAACTGAAAAGTCCACAAAACTTGAAACACATTAGTTAAAAAAAGGCCATATTTTGGGTCTTCAGTGCACCATTTACTGAAAATCGGACCAAACTCTATATGGGAGCTATATCGAAATCTGAACCGATTTCAGCGAAACAGCAGGTTATACTAACTTTAGAACGTTGTGCAAAAGTTTATTTCAATCGACCATATTTGGGAGCTTTGTCGCACCATTTACTTAAAATCGAGCCAAACTATATATGGGAGCTATATCTAAATCTGAACCGATTTTCACGAAACATAGCACACATCGTTCTAGACTCAATTCAGTGCGATATACCAAATTTCGTGCAAATCGAAAGATATATAGGGAATTTTGTGTACCATTTACATGAAATCGGACAGAAATGTATATGGGAGCTATTCCGAAATCTGAGACGATTTTCACGAAACTTAGCACACATCATTCAAGACTCGATTTAGTGCGCTATACCAAATTTCGTGTAATTCGAAAGATAAACAAGGACGTTGGTGTACCATTTACATAAAATCGGAAGAAAATATGTATGGCAGCTATATCGAAATCTGAACCGATTTTCTGGAAACTTAACATACATCATTCTAGACTTAAGTAGGTACGCCATTCCAAATTTCATGCAAATCGAAAGATATATAGGGACCTTGATGCACCACTGATATAAAATCGAACGAAAATATATATGGGAGCTGGACCGATTTTCACGAAACATAACACACATCATTCGAGACCCAATTCAGTACGCTACTCTAAATTTCATGCAAATCGAATGATATATAGGGACTTTGGTACACCATTTACTGAAAATCGGACGAAACTATATGTGGGAGCTGTATCTAAATCTGAACCGATTTTCCAAATTTCAATAGGGCTCGTCCTTGGGCCAATTAAATGGGCTGTACTTTGTTTGCAATTTAACATATGGACAGAAGGACTGCGTAAATCGACTCAGAAAGTGATTCTATGCATATTTTCAAAAGGAACAATGGGTCTATCTTGTTTCCCTTTGCCTGTTACAAACATATGCACAAATACTTAATACCCTGTACCACACAGTGTGGTTAAGGCCTCTATAGAAGGCTGATCTTCATTGAAAGCTGGTTCATAAAAAGACTGGTCTCTAAAGAATTCTGAGCCTTGTGAAAGGGTGGAAATAATAGAAGGGTGGCCTCTAAAAAATACTGATTTTAAAACTCTAATCTTTTATCGCTAGAAAGCTATTATTTTGGTTCAGAAGCATGACCTTCTATATGTGGAATGGATGTCGGCCCTCTATAGCTGGAAGAGTCGAATATATCATCGTCTGACTTCTATAAAAGCCTGAGCATTGTTAAATGTTGGAATCTATAAAAATGCTGAGCTTCATAGAAGACTGAACCCCATAGAAAACTGGCACCTAAAAAAGGCTGGTCTCTGAAATTTGTGGGCTCTAAATAAGGTTGATCACCATGGAAAGCTGGTGGCGTTAATAAAAGGCTAAGCTCTATAGAAGGTCTCTATCAAAAGCCGCGTCTATATACGATGCTAGCCTGTATGCAAGGTAAGTCTGTATATATAAAACTAGATGGCTAGGCTGGACCAGTTAGATAGAAAGCTTATCGTGTACTATAGAAGGCTGAGCTTCCACGGACAGATGTCTGGCATTTTTTTATTTTCTTGAAGACATTTGTAACCGTATTCAATTATATGATATTTTAAAAGAAGCTTACAATTTATTATTTATTAGTTGTTAATTAATATATTAATTACTACACATATTAAATTATCAATTTACTATATTATATTTACAACAAAAATACACTACAACCAGATGTTGTATTTAATTTTTTAAATAGAAAGAATTTAGAATTTCCAAAAAAATATACTAATTACAAAAAAAAAGTTTTGTTAGTTTGTGGTTAGTAAAAATAATTTTTAAGGTTAGTTTAGAGAGAGAGAAAGGATTTCCGGGTTTACAATAAACTTTTCATATTAATTTACAAAAATAGATTTCTTTCTGAATAATTTTGGTTTTTCTCTTTGCCAAAAAAAGTGTAGTGTGTTTTGGCGTGCTTTGTTTTTTTTCTGGAAGGGAAATTATTTTCAAAATTGACTACCATCCGTGCAGTTGATTTGATTGATTAATCGATCATCATCGTTTTCTTTTTTAAATGTGCGTGTGTTTGTAGCTACTTTATTGTTTACCGTACCTTTTGCATTCCTACCTCGTGGCACCAGATTATGGAGGCCACTATGATCCCTGCTGATTTTTGTCACCTCACCATCCTCGGTGGGCGTTATGAGATCCCAGATAAAGGTTTTGATTTTTTCATCACCCTTGTAGACTTGCAAACAATAGAGGAGCTAAAGCGAGAGAAGAAAAAAATTATGTTAAAAATTGTTGTATAAAATTAATGAAAATTCTGGTAAAAAATTTGGTATTCTTCCATCAGTTGTTGAGAATTAGTTTTTCTCAGCGAAAACCTAAAGTTTTCTCTATATTAGCATGGTTGGTCATCATTTTTGGGTTGGGTTAGAAGAAATATGAAATGGTTTGAGAGCGTATATAGAGTACCGTGAGTGCAAAATTGAATAGCCGATTGCCATGACGTATTAAAAAAAAATGATAAAGAAAACCCTGCTCTAAGAGCTACAAGGCTGGGTTTTTTCAAGAGCTACAAGGCTGGGTTTTTTCAAGAGCTAAAAGGCTGGTATTTCGGATTATATGTTTGGCCTGTTATTGATAGAAGATGATCGTTCTACGTCTAAAAGTCTAACCCTTGTTTAGATGGAAATTGGCCCTCAAGATGTAAATGGTTGACCTACCATATATAGAAGGCTAGATTTTGATAAATAGATAAAATGCTCCTATAGATGATATCCCCCAAAGAAGACAGGTTGATCAAAAAAAAAAAAAAAACTGGCATCTGTAGAAGACAGAACTCTATAAAAGACCTAGCTCCATAGAAGGCTGGCCTCTCTAAAAGACTTAGTTCTGTAGAAGGCTGACCTTTATAGAAAACATGCCTCTATATAAGGCTGGCCTCTACAGAAAACTGACCCCTTTAGAAGCCTGACGTCTACAGGCTGGTCTCAATAAAATGCTGAGTTTCGTAGAAGGCTGGCTCTGTTGAAGCCTGAACTTCATAGAAGAATCATCTCTATAGAAAGCCGAGCTCCACAAAAAGCTGGCCCCTAAATAGGGCTGTTCTCTACAGAAGACAGTCTTCTCAAGAAGGCTGGGCTCTATAGAAGGGAGGAATCCTGAACCAGAAAATCCAAGTACAAGGCTTGGATTTAAAAAATATATATATTTTTCTACAAGGCGTGGATTTTTCAAAGGGAAGAAGCTGGCGTCTATAAAAGGCTGAGATACAACCATGCCCGTTGTACCTTTGGGTATGGTTGTGTCTTGAACGAACCAAAGATGTTGTTCATGCAGCCTTAGGTCAAAATACGCGCGGCCTGACTCTTAATGCTGAGGCCCAGAGGTCTAAGTTCAGCATTGCGTTCAGAGCTGCACTTGGCTCCTGTCATAAGAATCGTTGCGTCTCTTTGTAGTTTACCTATTTTGCTGGATGTCGACTAGTGGCGCAGGCACTTCAACTAAACAAGAGAACCATGGGAAAGGATGGGCCTTACTACCACGGCGTTATACAACCAGTGTATTGTCGATGGTTTTAGCCCCCCAACTTTTCCCAATGGAGTTCTAGCATGCATAGAGTGCTATCTGCCCCCTCTTCGACCGTTCCTCCGCATAAGCTACGACTTTGATACCTTTTGCCGGCCAGTTCCATCATTATGTTGTTAATTACCAATAGCCATAGCAATGGTGAGAGCACCCCGCCCTCAGGAGTACCTCTTGTTACTGTTTTCTTGATTTTCGTATCGCCTACATTTGAATTTTTATTCCAACCAAAGCATTTTATCTATCCAACCAGTAAGGGTTTAAGGTATGATAACTTTTTTAAGTGAGTGGGGTTTACGGACTCAAGTTTATCGAGAAGGGAATCCAACGTAAAGTTCGAGTTTTCCATATTCCTCTCAATATATAACTTACCACCTCATACGGGGCAGATTCCACAGACTTGTGTGAATTGCTAAGAGAGGTGGGGTCTACACGACTCCTAATCTTCAGGTCGATCAATCTTTCGAGAGTCTTGAAGAGAAAGGATGATAGGCTTATGGGGTCTATAGCCCTTTGGTGCAGAGAACAGACTTGGTTTACCTGCTTTGGGAATGTAAGTAACCTTGACCTCGTTTCGAGATTCATGGTAAGCTAATGGGTCTATAGTCCTCTGGTGTAGATTGACTTGGTTTACCCGCTTTGGGAATGTAAGTAACCATTACCCTCGTTCCATAGACCCGGAACGCACGAGAGAGTCAAGCACGACGTATAGATCTTCTCAAGGATCTGATATTGGTGAGGCAAATTGAAGCATCGCCGATGCGATTTATATGGTTTGAATGTGTTGACTACCGCCCAGCGTATCTTATTTCTGCCAATGAGATTCAAATCTATAGTCGCAAGAGGTTGAGTGTCATCACATTCAATGTTGATGGTATCCACACATCTTTGCAACCTAGGAAATGGGTTTCCGCTAGGAGGTTAAGAGTCTCAGAACCGGAGTTCATCGTCCACGCTCCATCTTGTTTCTTGATACTCACGATGGATTTCGGATCGTTCGATAGTAATCTTCGAAACCTAACAACGTCGTTAACTCCTTCTATCGACTCACAGAAATTTATCCAAGAATTTATCTTTGCACGCTTAATCTCACTCTTGTATTTGTTGAAAGTAGCTCTATAGTCAATATCGAGAAAATTGAAGCTTATTTTTTAATGATAGAAGTTTGGCCTTCCACAGACAGATGCCTGGCCTTCTGAAGAGCCTGCAGCCCGTCCTTAGGTAGAAAACTGATATTAAATGACCGAATGTCTGGCATTTCTATAAATATATGTCAAGACTTCATAGCCAAATTGTCTAGCTGGAAGAAAGCAAACTGATAATCTATATATGGAAGACCTGTCCTGATATGGCTATTATTTTGCACGGTACTCTATACATACATATAATAATATAATTTTTTTCTAACTTACAATTATCCGTGAACAGTCTTCAACGTTAATATCACGCCATCCACGTTTGAATTGTCCCAATTCCAAGATTTCTGGCCAGCGGCCCCAGCTGTAAAAGAGAAAAAAGAAGAAGGTTAGGTTAGTACTTCGTTTAACCACAGATGTTTTGTCAAATTTTTTGTTATGGTCTCCATCAGTTTATGTGAGAAGTTTTGTTTTACTCAGCGAAAACCTATAGTTTCCTCAATATTAGCATGGTTGATCATCATTTTGGAGGTACAAATTATGGTGCGGGCGGATTTAAAAAATATTACATAGGTTAGGGCATAGAAAATAAGAAACCTGCCATATAATTCATATTCTATAGAGACAATTTATTCAGGTTAAAAATGTTCTGTATAGAGAGAGAGAGAGAGGGAGAAAATTTTACGGAGAATATGTTTTCTACATAGTAAATATATTGCGGATATTGTCTACAAAAATGTTGTCGATAACAATTATTTAATTTTAAATATTTATAAAAATTCCCTCCTCCTTTCGACCTCCTCCAGACTTATATTTCTTTTCAGTATTTTCCAATTTCATATTTAAAATATAGATTTTACGCTGCAGCATTTTCTCTTCTTTCTCTAGGGCCATTAGTTCATTTTTCTTTTCGATATATTGACGCACACTAGGCGCCTCATATCTCTCCAATTGTTGTCGCAGATTCTCTAAAGCTTCCATATCCTTTTGATTTTCTTTTTCCACAATTCCCGCTTCCTTTTCCAATTTACCGATGGCCTTAATAACCTCTACTGTCTTTTGATGTAATTGTCCCGATTCCATTTCTATGCTCATCATAATTTGTTTCGCTTCAGTCATGGCCAGAGATGCTTTACCCGTGACCGCTTTCAATCCCGACATATGCATATTTTTCTCATCCAACGAAGATAAAAGTTCGCTACGTTTTATCATCAATTTTTCAAAATCAATTGCCGTGAGGATGCCACTTAAATCGGATTTTGTTAGTAATTCAGCGCGTACATGTTGACAGCTATCCTGCAGCGATGTTATCTTCAAACGCATTGTGGCCAATAGGGCTCGGGCATTTTTAATCCAATTATTTACAAATTTACGTAATTTGCGTTCCAATTGTTTCTCGGTGGCGGAATTAAGAAATTCCAGATCCTGTCCATCGCGCATAAAATGTAATTGGAAATTTGTGATGGTTTCCAGGGTCTCTTCGTACATGAAACGCATTTCTTCCATGTGGCCGCGTAGTACCTTTATTTCCCTGGAAGCTGTGGAAATGACTACAAATTAATATCGATTTCAATGGGGGGACAACAGGTCTACCACCTGTTACCTTTGCTCTCGATTTCCTTGACCCGTTTTTCCACATCATTGGCTGTCTTCTCGGCCATATCGGCCTTGGCACGAAAATTTAGCCTATAATCATAGGCCGTTTTCTTTTGTGAACTTCCCGTTGTGGTGGTCACATGCGAGCGTGACATTGACGCCCTTGTTCTGGTGCCCAGGGAACTGCTTACCGATTGTGTTGATCCCAACTCAGGCTTTCGACCACGTGAACTTGCATTGTGAGCTGTTGCTCGACGCTGTTGCAGACCTATCAATAGCTTTGGATCATTTTTCTCTAGAAAATCACTAAGATAAAGATTTTCTAAACGTGCCATTGCCAAATCCCGATTAACATCTTGAAGAGCTTGATAAAGTTCTAGGGCATCTAATTTGGCCAAACGTTCATCCTGTTCGCCTTCGGCTAATTGAAAGAACATTGGTAGCTGTAGGCTATTGATAAATGTTTCCAAAGCCAAATTGGCCTCTTCCTGTTGGGAGAGTGCAGCTAAGGCTGCGCGGCCACCACGTGATAATGAACTGGGATTGGTGTTGCTACCACCAGCACCCCCTGACGACGCCGCATGACGAAAAATTGTTTCTGTACGCGATGAGTTTTGGGAACTGCTGAATAATGTCATGATGATATTAAGGAGGAGTGGGAAAGTTTTCAAAAACTATATATATATTTTTTTTTTTTTTTGAAAAATTCATTTTGAAATGTCACAATTGCATAGACTACTTTCATTTCAATATTTTCCAATATTTTGCCTTGGCAACACTTTTTTCCATATAGGATTTTTTTGACTTGGCAGCACTTTTTTCTATATAGGAAAAAATTCTTAGCTACACTTTTTTCTATAAAGAAAAAAATCTTGGCATCACTTTTTTCTATACAGAAAAAATGTTTGCCTTGACAACACTTTTTTCTTTTGCATTGGCAGTACTTTTTCCTATGGACAACATTTTGTTCTATATAAGAAAAAAGATTGCCCTGGCAGCACTTTTTCCTATATAGACTTTTTCTTTGGCAGCATTTTTTCCTATATAGACTTTTTCCTTGGCAGTACTTTTTTCTATATAGGAAATGTTTGCTTGGCAGCACTTTTTCCTATATAGAAAATATTTTTGACCTCTGCAACATATTCTCTAAAAAAAATTAAAAAAATATATTTGGACCCACCCCCTCCCTCCATCCCTGCACCTATGTAATATTTATTTAAAAAAATAATAATAATTTTCAACTTTAACTTACCCAAACGACAGCAGACCCTTCTCCACCTTGAAACATTCCGACTTCGCCCAATTACCATATTGTATCTCATCCAAACCCAACGCAGCCAATGCATCACGTTCCCTTGGCACATATTCCTCGTTGGCTTTCTTATCACGACCGCGTTCACGTTTCTCTTTGCGTGAACGTCTTGTCGAACGGATACCAATGCCACCCTCTTCATCGCTATTCTCATTCGATGACTCCTCGGAATTCATTTCCATAACATCTTCATGACCGTAACGTTTTATTTGTGTACGACGTCTTGGTTCGGATATTACCAAATCTTCAGTTTCATCACGTTCCACAGCATCGGGATCGATGTCCGCCTTCTTTGCCCATTTCGTCCAAAAGTCCGGATCATCAATGGTAATATCAGAACGATTGCCAGAAGCGGCAAATGAGGCCTTTGAGAACGTGGAACCTTTTTCCGATTCCATGGTAATAACTTGGGTACGTCTCTTGAGAATTGAATCGATATCTTCTTCACAGAATTTATCGCCGGCATTGTCATCATCCATGACAGCGCCATAGGCACCCTTCTTGAGCAGATCTTCAATTTCCTTCTTTGTCAGCTGTTTATTGCTACCATCTTTGGAATTTTGTGTGTTCATCGATTGCAGGACAGCCTTGTCGAGACCCAATTTGAGCGAGGCCTTATCGAACATTTCCCGCTCATAGGTGTTGCGACACAACAGACGGTAGATCTTGACCATTTTACGTTGGCCAATACGATGACACCGGGCCTGGGCCTGTAAATCGTTTTGCGGATTCCAATCGGAATCATAAATGATGACAGTATCGGCAGCTGTTAAATTAATACCCAAACCACCGGCCTTGGTGCAGAGCAAGAATACAAAACGATCCGAGCCGGGTTTGGAGTAGCGATCAATGGCCTCTTGACGCAAATTGCCACGAATACGACCATCGATACGCTCAAAGGGATATTTGCGATAGATCAGATAATCTTCGAGAATATCCAGACAACGAACCATCTGCGAGAAAATCAAAACGCGATGACCATTCGCTTTCAGTTTGGGCAACAGCTTATCGATGAGGACCATTTTACCCGAGGACTGAATAATGTTCTTGTAGTACGATTCATTATCTTCGCCGTGTTGATTGCGATAATCGTATTGGATTTGTTCTTCGGCACCGTTCAGCAGATAGGGATGGATACAGCACTTACGCAGCTCCATCATGGTGTTCATTAGGTTGGGAATATTTGCCGAAGTGGTTCCCTTCTTCAAGAAGGCGAAATTCTGTTCCAAAATACCGCGGTAATATTTCTTCTGGATATTTGTCAATTCCACCTCGATAATGGTTTCCTCCTTGGGAGCCAACGACTTCTCCACGTCATCCTTCAATCTGCGCAACATCATGGGTTTGAGCAGGGCCTGTAGCTTGTTGACCTCCTCCTCGGTACGTAGACTACCAAATTCCGACATAAATTCTTCAGCCGAAGAAAATTGACTTGGTTCCAAGAAGTTTAACAGCGAAAACAATTCACCCATATTATTTTGCAATGGAGTACCGGACAGCAGGACCCTATGTTCCAAATTCAATTGCCTCAAACCATCCAATAACTTACAGTTACGATTCTTGAGTCGATGGGCCTCATCGATGACACAGAGGCGCCAATTGAATGGCTTCAAATCCATGTGGTCGGTGACAATCATTTCAAAGGTGGTGATTAGTACATTGAACTTCACCGGTTCCTTGAGCATCTTGCCCGATTCGGTCTTATAGAAAAATTCATAATCTTGGATCATCTGTTTGCTGGTCACCGAACCATGATAGACGACAATGTTCATATCGGTCCAGCTCTCAAATTCACGCTGCCAATTTGGTATGGTGGAGAGCGGGGCAATTACCAGGAACGGACCCCGTATGCCATATTCATAGACGGAGTGGACAAATGTCAAACTCTGTATAGTCTTGCCCAGACCCATTTCATCGGCCAGGATACAATTGTGCGAATTATACCAAGAGAATTTTAACCAATTCAAACCCTCCAGCTGATAGGGTCTCAAGGTGTTGCCACCCTTATAGACGGGGGTCTTTTCCAGCTTCTTCCACTGGTCGGGTGTGGGCCTGCGTTTACCCTTCCACTCGGAGCGTGGTGGTATCTTGTTGAAACGTAAATATTGTTCGATTTTCTCCTCATCGACATCCTCCTCCAGTTCCCAGGTGCAATCTTCGTAGGGCAACGACTTCCATTTGACCAGATAATGTTTTGTGGTCTCACCGGTCTGTTCATCGGTGTGCACCGACATATCGAGGACACGATCGACCTCAACAAAATCAGGATTGAAATATTCCTCATCGAGAGTTTCGAAGCTCATCTGTTGGGCCTGTTTCTGTTGGAAGCGGCGAATTTTGGCACAAACACGACGATCACCCTTCAGCAGCTCCTCTTCGGTGCGCCATTCGCAGTGCAGATAGGAGAAGTTACGATATTTAACCAAATATTCTTCGACTTCGATGAATACAGGTTCGGGTTTTGGTTTTTCTTCATCCTTTTCGGATTTTTCCACTTTATCATCATCAGCAGCAGTTTCCTTCTTATCTTCTTGTGACTCCTCTTCTGGTTTCTTAGCATCTTCGGAGCTGGACTCTTTAGTTTCATCGTTGCTGCTGCTGGTGGCTGTTGTGGCCTTCTTTTCTTCTTCATCGGCGTTTTCAGCGGCCGCATCAACTTCCATGGCTTCACTGCCATGCTCTTTTTCTTTCTTCTTTTCTTCTTCTTTTTCATTTTCTACCTCACCCTCTTTCTTAACTTCTGGCTTTTTCTCCTCCTCCTCATCAACATCCATGGCTTCGGCGAAAGCAGTGGCTTCATTTTCTTCCTTCTTCTCCCCGGTGGTTGTGGCTTCGTCATTTTCTTTTTTAGTTTCAGCTTCATCCGCCTTGGATTTTTCATTCACTTCTTCCTCTTCTTTTTTAACCACCTTTTCCTTCGCCTCCTCCTCTGTGCTGCTGACATCCATTTTTTCTTCTGTTTCTGTTGCTGTGGCATCTTCAGTCTTCATGTCATTCTCTTTGGATTTCTCCGTTGAGGGGGTGGTGGTTTCATCTCCACCTTCTTGTTCTTCCTTTTCGGATTTTTCTTCATCTTTCTCGGTTTCTTTCTTTACTTCCTCTTCACCTTCTGCTTTGGCAGTTTCTCCCTCATCTTTTGTTTCTGACGAAGACCCCTTCTCCTCCGCACCCTCTTTTTCTTTCTTTATCTCCTCTCCACCTGCTTCGGTCACCTTGACCTCTTCTGCCTCCTCCTTCTCTTCTTTTGGTGGTGGTGGGGTGGGAGGATCTGGCAGTAGTTCTCGTTTACCCATCCTTACAGCCAATACATATTGGACCACCATACTATCCTCATCGCCGGTGTTGATGTAGACATAATTCGGCTTGGCTGAGGCCGTGGGTGCCACGGTAGCATCCTGCGACTTTTCCGATTTCTCTTGCAGTATTGAGGGTGTTGTAGTGCTGGATGTGGCCTCACCACCACCTCCCTGCATATCTTCGGCCAAATTGGACTTGTCATCGGTGGTGGTGGCTGGTTCCTGATTACTGTCTCCACATCCTCCGGCAGCGGAACTAGTGGCCGCCTGTTGCAGGGCATTTTCTCCATCACTGGAATTACTGCTTACCGCGGCGGTGGCAGCTGCTGCCGATGATGTGGAGGCAGCAGCCGATGACGCTGCTGCAGCTCCCTTTTTGTCCTTCTTCAAGGGCGAAGCCCCCAACAGAGATTCCGTCTCTTCATCGGAAAAGCGTAACATTACATCGTCGATATATTTTTTGCGTTGAGTATTGCGCGAGGAACGACGCTTACTCGTATCCAATTCAGATTCTGGCGGTGGTGAAGGTGGTGGTGTCCTCTCCAGATTATCATCTTCACCATCGGATTCGGGTACAATGCGGCCACGATTGCGACGCTTCTTCAAAGCCCTCGCCGAGAGATTACCGCCACGACTACGTCTGGGTCTACTACTGCTGCCGCCGCCTTCACCTTCATCACCTGTACCGCCGCCTCCGCCACCACGACCTCCACGTCGTTTCTTTTTGGCTCTCGTCGGAGTGGCAGTGGTATCGCCTGCTGAATCGGGTATGGAGTCTACAGTTTCATCACCCACCTCTGTATTTCCGCCGCCGCCAGTATCAGCGGCAGCACCCTCACCTTTGGGTATCTTCGAGACGGGTATATCATCATAATCTTGTGGTTCTCCGCCGTCTAGGGTGGTGGTTGTAGTTTTCAACACAGCCGCCTCATCAGAGGTTGTGGTTTCGGGTTTATTTTCCGAATCCTGTTCCTCGGAGGTTTCCGCATTAGATTCAGTGGATTTCTCCACCAAGGGTTTGTTGTCTTCAGTTTCACTACCCTCAGCTGTTCTATCGGCGGCGCCACCACCCTCGCCCCCATCATCGGACAATTTCTTTTTGCGTGCTGTGTTGCTGCCGTTACGTTTACGAGCCGCTGCTGGGGTGGTTCCATCGGCGCCCTCCTGGCCTTCCTTGATTTTCTTGGCCTTAGGGGTGCGTTCGCGTGGCGGCTTGTTGGGATCTTTGGGTGTTCTCGGTTTGCGGGGTTTCTTTTTCTTGCCGCCCGCATCTGTGGAGGTGTCCAGCTCATTGGCCGAGTGAACATCTTGGGAATGTTCACCACCCTCCCCTTCATTGTATTCGGTCATGCCGACTACGGAATTATCTCCGGCCCCCTGAGTGACACAATCTTCGGATACGGGCAGTTGATTGGGTGGTATTGGGGTCATCTGACTGACAACATTGCCACTTATATCCATCAGCTCACTGCTGTTGGGGGTGGCCCCTCCAGCTCCTGCTGCTGCCGCCGCCGCTTTGTCACCTTTCTTGACACGCGGCTTACGTGGTTTGTTGGTCCCCTTGCCACGTCCACGTCCTGTGGTGCTGGACACCTGTGGCGATTCAATCATTTGTTGTTGCATAATGGCTGAGGGTGGACCAAACAGTTGCGGTGGCATCGACTGATAGAAGAGACACTGAGGTCCACCAACACACTGGTCGTTGATCTCGTGTTGTTGTACCATATTGATGCGTTCCTGAATGCGCATAATCTTCTCCTGCTGATCATGTTGAGGTGGCATACAATAGAGTTCTTGTAGTTGCTGCTGCAGGGCAGCGATTTCCTGTTGATGCATCATCGGCGGTGGCGGAGCATGATGATAGGGTGTATAACCCATGTGGCCAGCTTGTGTTGGTGGCGGTGGAGGATATGGTGGCATCATTGGATGTGGTGGTGGGGGCATGCCAAGTGGTGTCAGTTGCGGCTGTTGGCCGGGCGGGACAACGGTGCTACCATCGGCGGCATATGTTGGCAGCGTGGTAATTCCAGGAGTTGTGGTTGCCGTTATGCCGATGCCGCTGGTTGGAGTTGGGGTAGCTGTTGTCATTACCGGCATTGGAGGGTTGGGGGGTTGTGGACCCCCGCCGGCTGTGGTTTGTGCTGGAAGTGTTGTCACACCACCACTTGTTTGTTGACCCACCATAATTGAGGGTGGTGCGGAAGTATCCATGCTGCTGGTGGTTACGGGTGGTGGAGTTATCTCCGATTTAGATTCCAAGCCCTTTGGCGTATCTGCCATTTTGTCCTCACCAGCCACTGGCTCTATTGGCGGCTTAGTGGTGGTGTTAAGAGTATCCGCTTCGTGTATCTGCTCTTTGTTGATAATGTGATCCTGCGTATCTGCCGCACCACCACCAACATTGTTGGAGTCCTCAGCACTCCGTGAAATTTCTTCTTCTTTACGAAGGGATTCGGGATTTGTCACCTCATGTGTGGGCTTCTCCGGGGCCATTAGCTCCTCTGGCGGCTTATCATGTTGCTGTACCGCTGCCATGGCTCCCATAAATGAACTTTGCGAATTACTATCCACCATGAGGCTGGCATGGGGTGGATTGGCCGCGGCTGTGGAAGATGCGACCGACACAGAGACTGCAATGGTGGTGGTATTGCCGCCGCTGGCCACTGCCGCACTATTCGAAGACATGGAATTGTTGTCGAAAAGACTTGCGCCAGCGCTATCCAAAATACCACCCGAAGAAGAACCACCACCACTACCGACACTAGTGCTGGAGGGTCCTGTCGTGGCACTTGTGCAAAGTGGTCCAGTACCTGAATTCGAATTAGAATTCAATAGACCTACAGCACCTCCAGCGCCATTACTGCTATTGTCCATGGCCGCCGCAAGGGTGGGGACATTATGGCTGCTATTTATCGAACTTTGCGAATTGCTGTCGTGTATCGAGGTGGGATGATTGTTCACGGTGCTATTCGTGGAGGAGTTGCTGCTGCTGTTGTTGCTATCATTAGCCGCCACTGCCAGGGTGGACGAGTCATTGGAATTGGCAGTTTCATTGAGTATGCCACTGATCAGATGATGTTGGGTGGGGGTGGAGGGGGTTGATGGCGGTTGTGGATGCTGCTGCTGCGATTGTTGTTGCTGTTGTTGATTAGCAGATCCCATGCCAGTTGAAGGTAATGGAGATGATACATGAGCAGGTGACATGGTGCTTGGTTGATGTTGTTGTTGTGGTGTTGAAGCTATGGAAGATGGTGTGGATTCCTGTTGTTGTTGCTGTTGCTGCTGCTGTTGTTGTTGGGGTTGTAACATTGAGGAAAATGGATCTTGGCTACCATATTGGGGAGGTTGGGATGATGAATGTTGCTGTTGTTGTTGTGGCTGGGGTGGAGAAACATGTTGCTGCTGTTGATAACTAGGTTGATGTTGTTGTTGCTGCTGCTGTGTTGGATGCATTGGTGAAGGTTGCTGCTGCTGTTGTTGTTGCTGATGATGTGGTGGCGCTTGATGAGGACTTCTCTGCTGATGTGTTTGCTGCTGCTGTGGATGATGTGGACTTTGCTGCTTTTGTTGTTGCTGCATTTGGCTGCTTGGTGGCTGTAATGTCACCGCAGATGATTGCTGTTGTTGCTGCTGCGTGTGATGCTGTGCCTCCACATTCCTGGCCTGTTGCAATGAGGGTGATGTTGAGTGGTGGTGCTGCATCTGATCACCGGGACCACCCATTTGATTATGTCCTCCCGGTGTGGTCATGTGATGCAATGTCATACCGCCAGCGGATGGTGGTGGCTGATGATGCATGGGTGACATTGAGGCAGCTTGATGTGACTGTTGCTGCTGCTGGGAATTTGATGCTGATGAGGATGATGTATTGCCCACAATATCATTGATGGAATGCTGCAATTGTTCGGATAAATGTTGTTGCTGATGTTGGTGTTGCTGCTGTTGTTGTTGTTGTTGCTGATGCTGTTGTTGTTGCTGATGCGAATGTGGTTGAGTATGAGGAGGTGTTGATTGCTGCTGGCCTGCTTGAGACACCGGTGTGGTCAGTTGGCCAATGCCATGGGGTGTGGGCGTTTGTCCCGCACCTTGTTGCCCAGCAACTGATGCTTGTTGCTGTTGCAATTGTTGTTGCTGCTGATGATGTGTGGGTGGTGGTGCTCCATACATAGCCATTTGTTGTTGATGTTGTTGTTGCTGCTGCTGTGGATGTGGCATTTGCGGTGGAGCTGTCATTTGACCCACACTCATGGGATTCGGTGGCCCCTGCTGCTGACTTTGTTGCATACTCAAATGAGCCGACCATTGCTGATGTTGTGGCGACACTGGCATACGTGGTCCCATGGGACCATGTTGAGCTGCAGCCGCCGCCGCTGCTGCTTGCCTATAGGCCGAGGGATAATCCATAGGACCGCCAGCCGATAGACCTTGGCCAGGCATTACCATTTGTTCCAAGGCCTGCAAGGTATTAACCGGCGTCGAACCACCCGACTTGGAGCTGGGTGGACCACCGGCCGTTGTTGGTTGCCGTGGTGAAGATAGGCCCACCATACCCGATATACTATGATGTGTGGTTTGTTGTTGTTGCTGCTGCTGTTGTTGTTGCTGGGTACTGGGCGAATTCACACTCGGCTGTTGCTGCTGCTGTGACTGCTGCTGAGGCGAAGGTCCCTGCTGCTGTTGACTGCTAGGTGGTTTGGCCGGTGACATTCCTGGTCTTGGCGACATTTGAGGGTGGGGTGACATTGTTGGTGGCCTCGGTGACATCTGGGGCGAAAGTTGTGGAAATGGTGCCCTGTATTGAGGCGATGCTGTGGCCTGATGTTTGCCCGCCGATGTCATGTACGATGGCGCTCCTCCCACCGGTTGTTGTTGAGGTGGAAGCTGGGGCTGCTGTTGGGCTTGTTGCTGCTGATGTAGACCACCATATGTGGGTGGCCCGACACCCATGTGGGGTGGTGGCAATTGCTGATGCTGGCCCGCTGCTTGCATGAGGCCAACATGATTTTGTGATTGCTGCTGCTGCTGTGGTTGTTGTTGCTGTTGCCCCTGCTGAGCTTGCAGCAAATGGGCAGTACTTTGCTGCTGTGGTGTACCCAACCCAGGAGGTACACCATGCTGTTGTTGCATGCTAGGTGGTGGCTGTTGCTGCTGCTGTTGTTGTTGTTGTGGTCCAGGACCACCCACCATATGCGAACCCAGCTGACCAGCCTGCTGCTGGGCACTGAGATGATGACTGGGCACACCACCAGGTGTTGCTGCTCCACCTGGCACATGTTGCCCATAGGGACTTGGCTGATCCAGTCCAGCATGGCCATAACCCACATGCTGGGGCGCCGATCGACTGGGTTGATGCTGCAAGGGAGCCCCATAGGGGACACCATAGCCCTGGGGTGCACCCGTTACACTCGAACCGGTGGGCACAACCCCACCAGGTCCTGGGGTCAACGGTTGGCCGGGTGTGGTCGAGTAGAGGGGATGTTGGCTGGGAGCTTGTGGATAATGTTGAGGCGGCAGGCGTGATTGTTGGTTTTGTTGCTGTTGTTGTTGCTGCTGCTGTTGTTGTTGTTGTTGCTGGGGCGTAGGTGCTTGTTGCTGCTGTGGTTGTTGTTGCTGTTGTTGTTGTGTGAGGGCACCATAGCCACCGGCTGGGCCAACATTTGGTCCAGGCTGCTGCAGCAGACTGCTCATCATGCCTTGCTGTGAGCCATAGGGTAGTTTTTGTTGATCCTGTTGGCCATAGGCGGGCATGTGTTGACGATAACTAGAGAAAAAACGGAAAGAAAGATAAGAAGAGGAACGAGGATAAAGAAAGTAGGGGACCTGGAGGTTGATGATGACTTACCTTGGCTGTGTTGCAGTTTGCCTTTGCTGTGTCGGTGGCCCCGCCTGGGGATGACCATAAGCTCCTAGTGTGGCGCCTGGATATGCTCCGGCCTGGCCGGGTACAGTGGGAGCGGCACCCCAACCGCTCAGATCCCCCATACCCATGCCGGCATGTTGATCGGCGGCACTTAGGCCATAAATGTTATCCGCCGTTGGTTGATACGTAGGATATTGGGGCTGTTGTTGTAATGGATGGGGGCCTCTGTGTCGGGGATAGCCACCGGGTGGTCCCATCGCCCGTGGAGATGCGGCAGCCGCAGCTGCTGCGGCAGCGGCTGGATCATAGCGGTAATAGGGATCTCTGGAAAAAAAAGAACACAAAAATTAATTTAATTTTGAGGGGGGAGTAGGAGTTTGGTAGCTTACCCTTGATGATTTCCGTGAAACATATTTTGGGCATTGCCATCCATCAGTTGTAGACGCACACAAAAATATAGAAAATTGTGTCTCTACTTGATAACCAAAAAAATATATATATTGTAGAACTATCGAACTTCGACGACTTCTTCCGTTGGGGGATTTCCTTTGAGTTTAGGGGGGGAAGTTGTTTTAAAGGAATTCAAAAAAAATCCTTATGGTTTTTTGGTTATTTTAAAAAATACATTTTCAAAGTCATCATATTTTGTTGTTGGAATTTTGCGAGAGCATTCGTCGTATGGAGATGAATTTTTGAATTTATGTTGTTGTTGTTAAAATATATATACGGAACGAAACAGCACAGGACACATTAAAAAAATTGAATAATTTCAGTTGAAATTTTGCCACTCAATAAAATATTTATATTGATTTTGCAAAATTGGGGAAAAGATGTGTGTGAGAGGTGGTGGAGCGGGATTGCTGTTTTTCTCTATTCTCGAATTTGCTGACAGACAGAGAAGTGTCCCCAGCAGTCCAGTTGAAATTTGTTGATTTTATTTTTTCCTGGAGTTGTTGTTGTCCGTCTACTTGCTTGCAGGAAAAATGTTATTGTTGTAATTTAGCTTCGCCGCTGGTATAGTTGTTGTTGTGTTTTACAAAGTCCTATACTTTTTTGTGTGTGTTTTACTTTTTAAATTTAATTTTGTTTTTGTTTTTTTTTTTAATCTACAAATATTGTTTTGTCTATTTTGTTGTTGTTGTTTAGTGGTTTTTCGTAAGTTTTTTTTTTGTTTTTGGTTAATTTAAACAATTTTACTTTTTAAGTTATATTGTTTTAAATTAACAAATGGGGTACTCTTTCTCTTCTACAACGTTGACATGTTGTCTTCTTCTTCTTTGTTTCAATCAGTAATGAGACATTTTTTGTTGTTGTTGCTTATTTGTTCACAGCTGTAAATAGACAGAAAAGAAGACGTATAATTAGAAAGTTTATTAAATAAAAAATGATTATTTTCAACACCACCACACGCACGCACACACATGTACTGACTGTAAGAATTCACTTTTCAGGATTTGAACTATTTCGACGCAGAATACAAAACCAGATGCGGATTATATACAAATATTTGTTTTTGGAAGACTTTAGATATGCGAGATGTTGATAATATATCCAAGAGGAGTGGTTGGCCTTTAAATTGGTACCAATTATATTGTCGTATATACTCGGATGTGGAAGTTACACTTAAATATTTACAGGTGCTTACGTATTCAGATATTATTTAGTAAACCATTACCATACTGGAGGGCGGAAATATAGCGCTGATCGCTTTGAAATGTTCCATGAGCTTCCAGTTATGGTCAAGGACAACGCCTATAATTTTCGGTGCTGATCAGATAATAATTTTGGGATGAAATGGACCGAAAACTAATTTGTTGTCGGTCTATAGGCAACAATTATAAGCCGAACATCACCACACAACCCACGTTGAAGGCAAAATGGACAAGTAATGTTATTAATATTCGGAAAATATGTCAGTGTAAGGAAGGGCTGCTGTTCAATCGGGCAAGAAGATGCAACTAAATATTGCCCAGACTTGGAATAAAAATCCGCAGAAAGTTATAGTTCCGTGGTAGTTGTGTAGGGTATCGTATGGTCGGCCCCGTCCGACTATACTGCTCCGCTCACTGATTTAAAAATATTTTCTGAAGGACAATAAAATGACGTAGATTATTTTTTACCCCCTGCCTAATGAGGGTTTGATACGGTGAAAATATGTCTGATCGAAATATTGGTTTTAGACTCCATGGTTTAGTTCAAATATCAAATCTGTTTCCGAAAATTTGAAGTCTATTTACACATGTCCGTCCGTTGTTCGTTTGTTTGTCTTTCGTCTTTCTGGCTTGTGTGCACGATAACTCCCGAATGGCATAATCGATTTTATTTAAACATTGCACATCTTAATATTTCTTCCAAACTTAGTTTAAATATTGTGAATATAGGGAATATTGTTCCACTCCTTCTGGTACCTCTAGAACCTCTACTAGAACGATACGAAAAGTACTAAATGTGATACCATTTGTATTTGGCGAACGGTAGAGCTAGAACTCTTAAATTTTAAATGAGGGTCACTGATAGCATGTAGAATAGATATAGCAAAGGTTTTTTTGGACATTCGAACTATAAGTATGCGAAAAGTTCTAAAATGTACTAAATTTGGTAGAATTTCGTAGCATTTGAATGGATAGAGCTAAAAACTTGAAATTTGGAATGCAAATTAAGGTTGAGAAGCAGAGTCGATATAGGGTGCTGGCTTTGGAAACGTGTACTTATGTATACGGAAAGTACTATATGGTACTATATTCGGTTTCGAGGTACAAATCGACCTGGAATCCTAAAAATTGAAAGTAAAATTACCGTCGGAATGTAGGATTGGGATATGTACGTAGTTTTGGAAATTTTTTACTTATGTTTACGAAAATTACTAAATCGTACTATAATTGGTACAGGTTTGATTTTAGTAAAATTTGAATTTGAGGTGAAAGAGCTAGACTCATGAAATTTGGAGTCACGAACACTGTTGAGGTGTAATATTGAGATATGTAGGAAGTTTTAGAAATGTGTACTAAATTTGGTACAATTTGAATTGTGAGTGAACCGATAGAGTTGCAATCCTGATGAAACTTGGATTTGGGATCACTGTGGAGTGTAGGGTTGGAGTAAATAGAAAGTTTTAGAAATTTATACAAGTGTACTAAATTTGGTACAATTTAAATTGTGGGTGAAGCGATTGAGTTGGAATCTTGAAACTTGGATTTAGGATGACTGTGAGGGTGTTGGTTTGGGGTAAGAAGGGGGTTCTGGAAATTCGTACTACTTTGTACTAAATTTTGCACAATTTGAATTGTGGGTGAACTGATAGAGTTTGAATAATGAAACATAGATTTAGGATGACTGTGGGGGTGTAGGATTGGGGTAAGAAGGAGGTTCAGGAAATTCGTACTACTTTGTACTAAATTTTGCACAATTTAAATTGTGTGTGAACTGATAGAGTTTGAATCCTGAAACTTGGATTTAGGATGACTGTGGGGGTGTAGGATGGGGGTGTATGTAGGAAGTTTTGGAAATTGGTACAACGATGTACTAAATTTGGTAGAATTTGAATTGCGGGATTTAGAATGACTGTGGGAGTGTAGGTTTGGGCTAGGAAGGAGGTTTTGGAAATAAGTACAACTATGTACTAAATTTGGTACAATTAGAATTGTGGGTGAACCGACAGATTTAGAATCCACAAAACTTGGATTTCGAATCACTGTGGAGTTGTTGGATTGGGGTACGTAGGAAGTTTTGGAAATTGGTAATACTGTGTACTAAATTTATGGTCGATTTTAATGTGTGAATTGTTCTTTCTTTGCTGTGAAAATAAAATAATATTTTATTACATGTTTAAATATTTCCTACATTCGCTATCGAAGTTGCGGGCATATGCTAGTATATATATATATATATTATTTTCATTGATTTCTTTGTCAGTACATGTGTGAGTGTGTCAGTGGTGAAAACATGTATTTATATAATGGACCCTATATAACTGGTCCCCCATTTTTTTGAGTTGCTGTGAAATATCGAGTAAAATATCGGGCAATAAAATGATGTAGTCAAGCAGTGTGAGAGATTGTGGCGTGGCAAATGCGCGATCTGATTCTTGCGGTGTGAAAATTATTGAAAAAAATCTGAAATGACAAAAAGAAAAAAATTATTTAGAAAGGGTGTATAAAAATTAAAAAGTATATATATTATGTTTAACATGCAAAACACCATTACAAAATAATATTAGTTTTTAAAATTTTTTTAAAAGTTCTCCCAAAGGTTGGTAAGTATGTAAGTAGTTTCTTGATAATTATTGTATACAATTTTTACACACACATATATTTACATAATAATAATTTTGAACACATATTCACTTTAGTTAGGCACTTTTTTAATTAAATTATACCCTTATATATTCACAATAAAAAAATATTTATTCATAATTTTTTGGTCGTCAATTTGCTCTCGACATTTAAGGGGAAAAGCTATACGCTTATGAATATCGTATAAGCACGAGTTTAGATATTTTTCAAAATAAACAAAAACATACAACGTACAGCATTACCCCCTAAAGATGGAGCCTTTTCTTTGTCGATGTTTTTTTTTTTCAAATATTTCTTTGTTGCTTTCACTGTAATATACACTTTTTTAGATATTTTTAACAAAATTCACACCATACACTCAAGAACAATAATATAGATTTTTTTATTTCAATTATTTGTTGTTGTTTTTTTAATATTTTTTAAGGTATATAAATATGCGTTGATTTTAAAAAATTAAGGAACATAAAAATATATATATTTTCATTACAAGCCGTACTTGTTTAATTTATACATAATTATAATAAAACATCTTACTATTTTAAAACTATTTTTCAAAAAACCATAGGTCAGGCGTAGATTTTTAGAAACTATAAAGAGGCATCGATTTTTAAAATAATTTTTTGAGGAACTCTAACAAAACTTAGATTTGATTTAAATTTATTCACATTCAGAAATTCAGAATTTTTTTCGAAATTAATCAGAATCTAGATTTTTTCAAAATGATAAGGAAATATAAAAAAAATATTTTTTCAAATTTATTCGGAGCCTAGATTTATTTAATTTTTTTTTTCAAAATTTATCAGAATTTATTTTACCACCAGTTTTTTAAAAAAAATTAATATTTTTTAGAATGATTTTCAGAGACTTTGGTGCAGCAATTACCTAATATCGGATGAAAATATCTATGGGAGCTATATCTAAATCTGAACCGATTTTCACGAAACTTAACACACATCATTCTAGACTTAATTCAGTACGCTTTTCCGAAATAGATGCAAATCGAACGATTTTCAAAGACTTTGGTGCACCAATTACCTAATATCGGATGAAAATATCTATGGGAGCTATATCTAAATCTGAACCGATTTTCACGAAACTTAACACACATCATTCTAGACTTAATGCAGTACGCTGTGGCGAAATTCGTGCAAATCGTGTGATTTTAAGGGACTTTGG